GTATGGATATATATTGTTTTGAAATTGCTCAACTCAGCCATCTTGGAATTTTTTGTGATGACGTCATTATTCTGATTAAATTTTTTAACGAGAGTCAGGAGTAACTATTTAGCCAAGTCCTTGTTACATTTGATATACATAGCATATGTAAAAGTGACTAAAAACATACATTTATTTCCCTTACCCCTATCTTAATTAGCCCAAAATAGGATATTTTATGTCAAAATTTTAAAGCGCTATAAAAAAAATTGCCCAAGCTCTAAGAATGGGGATTTTTTTTCTGAGACACTATATGATATACTGATTCAGAAAAACCAAAAATTAATTTTCCTTTACTTTTTTCCCGCTAATTTCCTACTACATCCAGGCTATTTCATTTACTTTCAAAGGTTGTCGGTACAATTCAAAATATACAACCTGACACATAAACTTCACTTGCATCATTTCATGGAGGTATTTGATGATATTCTAGCATGATTAGTATCTTTTTAGGTGTCCCCCGATAAGTAGGACAATCCATAAGTCGGACATCCCATAAGTCTGACATCCCATAGATCTGAATAATTTTTTTTTCAAAGGTTCAACATAGAAAAAAAACCACAGAAACAGCCTAAAAGGGCTTTCAGGGAGCCCTCACACAGTGGAGGCTGGTCTTGAGCTGCCAAGGGTATACTTAGTGGGACTTAATACGGGATGTCGGACTTAAATGGAATGTTGGAGGAATCACATTTTTTTCATTTATTGCGCAATCCTTCAAGATAATGCATCATCTCATACGCCCGTATTCTTAAAACGAACTTTAGTCGAACTTCGAACTAGAACTTCTACTACTTCGTAAAAGTTCTAACTACGACTAAATCAAGTCCTAGTTGTAGTTCAGCTGAAGACGACTGGCAAGCAACAACTATCAAACTAACCAATTTTAATAGCAGACGAAATTTTAGAGATCCGGTAACGCGGAAGAATATTAAACTGCCGTCTGTCTTTCAAAAACATATTTCCTCATAATTCATAATTGACCATTATTCGCCTAATATTATATACTAATAACTATATTAGTCGTTAACATCAAACGATAGAGAATTTGAACTGTCACTAAAAATTTGCTTTCTTTTGGAGAACTATTATAGTTGAGGTCGAGCGAGGGCGGCGCCATCTTTGTTGTTGTTACGGTGATTCTACGTGACCGCAACGAGAAAGAATTTCATGCAAATCAGGAACTGTTGCATGTGGCTAGCAAAACATGCTAATTTCGCCTTTTGTAAGCTAAACGTAATGTCCCTTTTTTTGAACACAGTGGAGATACATCAGACCTACTTATACAATCGTTTTTATTCATTTCACTTTATCTTAAGTTACAAAAAGCACGTTTTCATTGGGGTAACTATTTTAAGTCGGCGATTTAGCCTGACTAAAAAAATCGGCCTGCGGAGGTATAATTTTAGGCGAGGTTGGCGTCATTTAGTCGTAATGCTAGTCGAAGTTCGTTTTAAGAATACTAAATGACGTAATTTTTAAGTTTTAGCTCGAACTACGACTAAAGTTTGTTTTAAGAATACCAGGGTTAGTCCTCTTTCAAGGATATCAGCTGATGAGCACACACTGTTGTGGGTAAAGAGCAGCTAACAGTCCAACTGGATTACGCCAAATTGCAGCCAGGAAAATATGACAAGGATTGGTACATAGGCTGTATAGTTGAGTGTTCAGATGAAAATAATGATGTGTTCATTAACTTCATGAATCAGTCAGACAAAGGACTTTTCTCATGGCCAGCTTCTGTTCGTAAGAATGTGTGCTGGGTGCCGTTCCAGAACATAATATGCTTCATCTCTGCACCTGAACTACATGGACAAAGTGCCAGGTTTTACTAACTTGTTCCCGAGGACACTGCACTTATTCAGATGAATTTACCATTATTTCTATGAGCTCCTGGCTGTGAGGCTGCTCATAGTGTACTTCTGACAATGCTGTCCATGACATTTACTGTTTCTTAGTGTCCAATAAACTGAAAGACACCGGCCTCGTCCAGTGTTGGCATGTAGAATAAGTTTCCCTTTGGTCATACATGCCCATCCTATTCTGTTAACCTTACAGCTGGATTTCTTTAGGAATGATACTTAAGTTAACAATATTGAACTTAAGCATGTCCTTTATAAAGCAAATGAGTAGTGAGGCGTTTTCAGTATTAAAAATCGCCTACATTTGACCAAATTATTTAGCAATGAAGGAGATGAGAAAACAAGTTGAAATTTTGACCAAATAGAGGCAAGATATGTACAATTAAGTAGAAAAAGTTTCATTACTATTATTATTATTATTGCTCACATGATGAAACTGCCACCCGAAAATCTGCAAAAATGTCATTTTTTTCAGTCGGAACCCTTTTCAGGGATCCCTAACTCCTATATTATGGCTTGAATATAGTCAATCTCTCTTTTACACACAGTCCTGTCCTCAGATAGCAGGATTCTAGCACAATTATTACTATCTGTAAGTGCTCTTACCCTCACAGGGAGGACTTGAAAACTGATTTTTTTTATTTCCGCCTATAAAAAAATACACATTTGAGAGGGAAATACTGTAACTTGAAAATGAAAAAAGATAGATCAATTCTGACAGCAGATGCTGAAAGCCTGGGCCAATAATACCCTGAGAACCAAATTTCTACTCCTACCTCTGCCTCATTACCAAGATATTGACCTCCAAAAACCCAATAAATTTAAGTTTGTGATTCGCGAGGCCGAAAAGGGGGCGTGGCACCCAATTTTTGGGGGGAGGGAATATCTCCGAAACCACTTGGAGTATAAGTCTAAAATTTTGCATATGTGTTCATTATTCATATAAAGGTATCTCCAAAATAAATTTGAGCCAAATCGGAGTCGGTCAACTGCAAGCATTTTTCAACTTTGGTTGAGTTCATATGGAATGACCCTTCCTAACTTTTCTCAAAATTGTGTCAATTGAACATGCACACATATTTATTCCTAAAACCTGCTGTACAGTAATTACAAATCTCCCTCTGATTAAAGACCACCTCCAATTAAGCACCACCTCCTATCATCTTTATTATTCTAGAGACCAAATCTGCTAAAGATCATGTATGCCCATTCCAAAATGTGGCCCTTAATTGGAAGGAGACTTGTATCAACATTTCTGATGATGTGTCAGATACAGAACTTAACACCAAGACCTAAATGCACTTCACACTGTTATCCCACTTGTTGGATTAAACACCTCAGAACACATACCCATCTTCCTATGGCAGGTATACAGTTATATATTATCAATTTAATCTGAATTTCTGTAAAAAATATTTTGAATGATTTTTAGGAGCCTGGTAGTTACTGTACCAATATGCTACAAGCAAAAGTGTACAAACATGGAAAATTCTAAAAGTAAACCAATAATATGCGTACTGTGACGTTTCGATTAAACGGTACATATATTATTGGTTTACTTACAAGAATTTTCCATGTTTCTACTGTACATCCAGAAACCTGATGAAATTATTTGAGCTCAAAAGTGTACAGTGACGATGAAGCCAACTGACGAAAATAACAAATATACTGTAACAATAATTATAAGAATAAGAATAAGATATTAGTCTAATTTATACGTTATGATTATTTAATGGAAGAAAATACTTCACTCCATTGACGAAAATAAGCAAATAATGGCCATATGAACAGTTCAAACAGGTAGCATGTACCTTGTTTCAACTAACAATTCATGTCTTCATCTGAAGAAGCTTGATTGAGCTAGCGGAAGCTACTGTATTTCCAATAGAAGCTAGCTTGAGCTAGCGAAAGCTACACCAGAGAAAGGAAGAGAAAGCTTGTGTCTCAAAATAAAATTTGTTAGTGTTTTATTTGTTTTCATTTATTACTGACAAATACAGCTCATAGAGTCATACTTGTGATCTCATATTTATTATTTAGCTGTTGGATATTTCTGGTAGCGGGAACTGTACAGCCAGTGAAAGAAGGGTAGGGTATTTACTGAAAGCTACTATACTTTTCAAATGGGATTTTTAATGACTTACTTACATTGGGGATTCTGGTATAAAGGAATCGTACAAAATCATGTTGGTTTCATCAACCGTAGGTCTTGACCATCCCTTAGCAGCAAAAACAAAATCAGACAGCCTAACAGACTCGGGAGCAGGCCTAGAGTTGAAATAATGCACAAGCAAAAGTTCAACACAAACCACATCCTTTTCAAACTATGTAGGCTTTACTTATTTTACAAACAGAGTACCAACTGAGTGCCACTAAGCTTGGGCCTTGGGTGACATAAGAATTTCTGAATGCCCATTCAGGCTGGCAGCCAGGGCTGGAAAAACAGCACAATTTATTATAATCATATTAACTGGGGGAAAACACTTAATATGCACCAACATCCACCAAGAAAACACTCATGCCACCAAGAAAACACTCATGGTGCATCAATGTAGAAGAGCATGATTAATATAAATGGAGCCCCATGTCACATGTTCTAAGATGGAATGAAATGAAAGTATTAGGTTAAGTTTAAGAACTGAACTGAAGATTATAGTAAAGAAGCAATAAACATTTTCATTAGCTCAGTTTCTTTGCAAAATTGGTGGTAGGAAGGGGTTCTTACACAAGAGTATACTGTATGTCAATGCTTTCCAGCCATATACAATAAAAAAAAAAAAAATTATTAGTAATTATGCAATCCTTTGCCACCGTAGTTGCAGTTTGTCGTCCTCGAACTTGAGGTTGACAGTTTAAATTTCTGGCAGGTTTCCATAAAATCGCTATCACCAAAATTTGTCAGTGACACAGAGTAGCAATTTTGAGTGTCTAAAGTATTACTGTAATTATTATTCATCACTAAAATACTCCTTAAGTTGAGGAGGTTGAACACCAGTAGCGGATCCAGGAATATAAAGAGAGGGGTCCCAGGGAAGGACTTTCACAAATGCAAGATCTAGACCACCTTAGCCCCAACATTGGGGGTTAGGGTTAGGAAAGAGAAATGTATGATTATGGCACCTCAAGATGGAGGAAAATATACTTTTTACTTTTTAAAATTTTGAGGGGGGGGGGGAGATGCCTTGTGGGCTCTCTGGGCCCCTTTGAACTCAGGCCTCACCCCTGAAAGCTTATAGGCGTTAAGTCGCAATTGAATACTGTGGATTTGTTTTGTGTTATAATTGGTGATCCACTTCCCCAGTGGATCACCTCTTGTTATTGTCAGGGATCTTTTTGGTGATCCGCTTCTCGAGCAGATCACCTCTTGTTATTGTCAGAGATCTTCTTACTTTGAACATCTTTTTTTTTTTTATTCTACCTTTCCTTCCATTTTTGTTCGCACGATATCTCAAAATTGCTACAAGCTACGCACAAGGTCGCTTCATCGATCATTTTGGCATCGCCTGGAATAGACATGGTAAGGTTTTCAAGGTGACCAGTCATGCGTGACGTCAGCTACGCGCAATTTTGCGTTTTTACATTATCGATCATATCAGCCTAACCAATTGCTATTTTGAAATCGTATTAAGTGAGCATTAACTTCAGGTCAATGTTAAATGTACTGTATCCTAATTTTATGTGTGTGCTTCGTAACACGTGCGTACGCGTACGTCAAAATTTCAAAATGCTCAAAATCAATTTTTGACTAAATTAGAGCACGTTACACGCCATTTTGAGCTTTTCAATATTTTTAAAATTTACCACTACGCGTACGCATTTTTATGCACGCAGCTCGTACGGAAGCTAGAAATTAAGTTTTTTTGTCACATTTCGGGTTCCTGACATTGTTTTTACAAGTTTCCGATCTTTTCAATCACCTTATGGCCAATATTCAATGCCGTACGCACGCATCAAACATAGCGAACTATGTGCGCATTTGTGCCGATATACAGTGAAATTTTGCTAAAATCAGGCCTAATTTTAAACAGTTACAGCTCTTTAGGATGAAAGGTGACCCCCAATTTTGATTACATATTCTGAAAGCACATGAGTTGTAAATATGATTTTCTAGCTCATAATGGTCGATCGGACATTGTGACGTCATCATAATTGCCATCTGAATTCAACAAACAGAATTTTATCGATGACGTCATTTTTAAAAATGCGCATTTGAGTGCATCTCGCTTGTTCTTGGTCGATCGTCTTCCAACTTTGAATATGTTATAGCTGAGGCAATTCTCTTTCATTATGTGACTTTGTACATTTTGATAATGTCATCATGGTCAAAATAAAGGTTTTTGATGACCCCCTCATCTTTCTTTCCTCAAACATTTAATGACCCCATAATCACCTTAACCAGCCGTGATTTCTGAATGATATTTAGTGGGCATAAACTTCAGGTCATGCTTAAATGTTACGTACCTTAATTTCCTGTGCGCGCATCATAACGCACGCGTCAAATTTAAAATATGCTTAATATCATGCCTATTTTCAATCAGTTATAGCTCCTTAGGATGAAAGGTGACCCCCAATTTTTATTACATATTCTAAAAGCACATGAGTTGTAGATGATTTTATTTATCATAATAGCTGATCGGATATTGTGACGTCACCATATTGCCATCTGAATTCAAAAAACTGAATTTTTATATATGATAAATACTATGAATGATAATTACTCCTTCACCAACAGGCGTTTGTCAATGAAAGTTGATACATATATATTTCATATCAGGAGACAACAGTGCATCATGACGTGCGCGTACGCATGAGTAAATCTTTTAAAATGCTCCAAAATCTTTTTTAACAAACTAATTTAGCGTATTTTGCCATTTTCAGCATTTAAATATTGGTCAATCCGCACCGCGCACACTTCCTTGTGGGTCAAAGTGCGGCGGATCACCTAACTCGTCCGCAGTGACGAGTTCAAATCTAGTTCTTTTTTTTATTCTACATTTCTGTCAAAGATCTGTTAGCACGATATCTCAAAATTGCCAAGAGCAACACACAAGCCCATTTCAGCAAACATTTATTTGGCTTGGCCTGAAATAGTCACAATAAGCTTTTCAACGTACTCAGTCATGCGTGACATCATCTACGGGCAATTTTGCGTTTTTACATTATCGATCATATCATCCTAACCATTTGTCATTTTTCAATCATATTCAGTAGAAATAAACTTCAGGTCAAGGTTGAATTTCATATACCAAAATATTTTGAGTGCGCGTCATAACACGTGCGCACACGTGCTTCAAAATTTTAAAATGCTCAAAATCACTTTTTGACTAAATAAGAGTACGTTTCAGGCCATTTTTAGCATTTCATTTTTTTTTTTTAATTTTCCAACTACGCGCGCGCATTTTTACGCACGCAGCACATACGGAAGCTAGAAATTAAGTTTTTTTTACATGTTTTGGGTTCCTGACATTGTTTTCACAAATTTCTATCCTTTTCAGTCATCTTATGGCTAATAGCAATGCTGTACACGCGCATCAAACATAAGGATCTTTGCGAGCATTTGTGCCGACATACAGTGAAAATATGCTAAAATCAGGCCTATTTTTAATCAGTTATAGCTTCATAGGATGATTGGTAACCCCCAATTTTTATTACATATTCTGAAAGCAGATTAGTTGTAAATATGATTTTATAGATCATAATGGCTGATTGGACATTGTGACGTCTTCATATTACCATCTGAATTCAGTAAAACTGAATTTTATCTATGACGTCATTTTAGAAAATACGCATTTAAGCGTATCTCGCTTATCCTTTATCGATCGTCTCCCAACTTTTGGTATGTTATAGCTGAGACAATTCGCTTTCATATACGACTTCTTTTTATATTTTGATGACGTCATTATGGTCAAAATAAATGTTTTTTCTGACCCTCTTATCTTTCTGTCCTCAAAACGTTGACGACCCCATAATCATCTTAACCATTCGTCATTTCTGAATTATATTAAATGGGCTTACACTTCAGGTCAAGGTTGAATGTCAGTTACCTTGATTTTCCATTCGCACGCCTTAACGTGTGCGTACGCATGCGTCAACAATTATACATTCTTAAAATTATGCCTATTTTTAATCAGTTATAGCTCCTTAGGATGAAAGGTAACCCTCAATTCAACTTTTATTACTTATTCTGAAAGCACATGAGTTATAGATATGATTTTATAGATCATTATGGCTGATTGGACATTGTGACGTCATCATATTGCCATCTGAATTCAAAAAACTGAATTTTTATTTATGATAAATATTATGAATGATAATAAGTCCCTCACCAACAGGCGTCTGTTCATGAGGGTTGATACATATCTCATATCAGGAGTCAACACTTTGTGACATTACCATGCGCATGTGCGTCATGACGTGCGTGCGCATGAGTAAATCTTTTAAAATGCTCAAAATTCTTTTTTTAAAACTGAATTAGCGTATACTTTACGCCATTTTCAGCATTAAAAAATTGTTCAATCCAAACCGTGCACACTACGAGGGGGTCAAAGTGCGGTGGATCACCTAAGTTGTCCTCAGTGACGAGTTCAAATCTAGTTAATATTATGATGTTATCCCATCAAAAGTTACAGGTTGTTGAGATTTATTGTGAAGTGTATTTCAGCTTACTTACTTGTGTACTCCTGAAACGGAACTCCTCTTCATTTTTTTCTGTAGCTCATCTGCCTCTTTGTTTAATCGTGACACAAGTGTGAGGGCAGTTTCCTCTTTTTGCTTTCCAAGAGGAATGATCTACAAAAATGGAAATAATGAAGATTATCTTCAGAAGATTGAGTTTTCCTACATGATTTCCTGTACAGTAACAGGTAAAATACACTATCAAAATTTTTAACAATAAACAGGTTAAATAAAATAGAGGTTAAACACACAGAGAACATAAAATTGAGTGTACAGGGTATAAAGTATGTTATAATCAGTTTGTACAGTATCCTTTGTTCAATATTAAGAGCAAGGAATTATCTGCACTGATGTCTGAACAGAATGTCAGCCTAATAATGGCATAGGCCTAGATGATTAGTGATGTCCACAATTTCTTTTACATGTTGTCATCTTAACCTGCAGCTTCAAAGGGTTGCTCTTTAGTACCCAAAAAAGAATGAGGTAGGAAAAAAGTAAATCCTGAAAGACCCAAGAAAATCCAAGCAAAACAAAAATAAATTTTTAATCTTAATATGTTTCAAAGTCCATGTTGTTTTGTTTGCTGCTAGACTCCACAATTTGTCTATACCTCTTCAAATATATAGCAGTGTATCCATACTTCTACCAGGGGCAGATCCAGAGATGTCCCAAATGGGGGGGGGGTGAAAGAGAGGTTAAAAGTGGGGCCGATTAAGACAACACTACTCTAGGGCGTCCAGGGGAATGTTCCTGCTAAATTTTTGTTTTCTAGACACAAAAAAATAACCTCCGAGGCGTTTTGGCCGATCAATTATTTCTTTTTCTTGATTATTTTTTCAAAATTTTTTAAAGTGGTGCCTCGGCCAGCCCGGCCCGCCCCCGTGTACAGTAGAAGAAACAACAAAAAATATTTTTACACTAACAGAAACTTGAAAAAGTATAGATTTACTGTACAATCATGCAATGATGGTCTACAAAGTGACTGATATTTGTCTGCATATCGTATGGTTTAACATGCCAGACACTCCAACCTACCTTAAGAACTGCAGGAGGAATAGCATCAAACTTTACAGGTGTCTTGATAAGGGCTAGGTCATGGGTTGCAATAGTTGCCTTCGTCCTCTTGGCACACAATGCATCATGCAACTTGGTCTGAAATGAAATACAAGAAAAGATTTGAACTGCCATAGTTGTCTCTTGGTCTGCGCATTGAGTTAGTTCTTTATGTACTGTATAACCTCTATGCAAATATTATACTTTACAGTGTGCCTACACAAGCTAGACCTACTTGGCATTCATCATTTACCTGAGCTGCAAGAAACTGCTTAAAATTGCTACCTCTCTCCAGGTCTATGTTTCGGACAACACAACAGACAATATATGGTCGTATGATGGCGGTATGTTTGGTCACAACAACATCAATAATGTTGCTTGTTGGGCAGTCAGCTAGAGGTAGAACCTTGATGTTCTTTTCAGTTTTTAATAGTGCTGTTTCCTTCTCTCTCTTCTTACTAAGTTTCTTGCCCTTACCTAGCTTAAACCCATCCTCTTCATTGTCAGTTGATCTCGTCTTGGTCCCTTTCTTACCATTTGCTCTAACATAGTCTAAAATTGCCTTTGTTTTACATTGTTTTACAAGCTTGTCCAGGCGCCTATCTTTGAATTTGTTATTTTGAAACAAGCATTCTTTTAACTTTGGACAACTACCTAACTCGACGGGCAACTCACTAATAACATTTTCATGGAGATCAAGTTTTTTTAAAGCCTCTAACTGATCAATATTGCCGCTTATCAGTTCAATAGCATTGGCTGAGGCTATCAAGTCGCTCAAATGTGCAAAACAATTTGAAAATAAAGGCTCGATCGACTTTAGCTTGTTCCCAGCGAAGTTCACAACAGCTAATTTGTTCAGTCGTTTCATATCAGGTAGTTCGTAAATCAGATTATTACTTGCATCAATACTCTGGAGATTTGTCAGTTCATTAATTTCAAATGGGAGGACTGATAAACTATTACCAGAAACATCAAGCAATTTTAACATATGAAGTTGGCCTAGCGACGGCGGAAGCCTGTCAAGTTTGTTTCCTCTCAGAACTAGGTTCACCATGCTTGAGAGCAGGCCTATCTTTTCACTGATAAAGGTCAAACTTGTATTTGATATTTCAAGAAAATTCAACATTTTAAGGTTGAATATATTGTCATCAAGACCACCATCATCTATTCTGCTTGATATTTGATTCCCAGAAAGTACTAGTTCCCGACGATTTTCCTTTTTTGCACGAACCGTCTCTTCCCATACATTCGCCGCCATGGCCGCACAGCAAGTACAGTACACAGTACAGTATAATCCGAATTTCCAAAGAGTATCAGTCAATTCGAGCAGATGCCACTTCGAGCGAATGCTAGTTCGAGCGGAAAAAGAGCCACTATGCGAACAACAGCGACCTGTGTGAGTTATGTACGAATTACTTAAAAATTTTCTATTTTGAGCAAACTATTGCATTCGGCCGAGGCTCAAGCCTTGTCTGGGAGCCAAAAAAAAGCCCTGGTGGGTTTCAGACATAGAGATATAATAAGAATACTAGAGCGCTAACAGCAATGTATTCATGTTCGAAATACGCAGAGCTGTGTGTGTGTACCATCCAAGATGGCTGCCATAGATTCAGCCAATCAAATTTCCCCTGAGCACTATCATTTTCAATGGCGCCCTCAATTTACAAGTTCTGCAAAGATCTTATAAACACAAGATAGCGTTCTCCGCGATTTACGCGTGCAAATTTCTGTAATAAGGCATGAATGTTTGAGCTCGAAAAACTCCTAAAGGTAGCTAGCGATTTTTCTAAACAGTGGAAACTGAACTTTAATTTTGAAAAATCAAATGTACTGATTACAGGCCAAAGGGTTAACCATCTGAGAAAATGGAAACTTAGTGATAGTTATATAATAGAAAAGGACATGTACAAGTACCTCGGGGTAATAATCTCTCGTTCGTATACAGACTCTCATCATAGAATAAAACAACAATACAGCGCAGAATCGCATGGCCGGACGCACTTTTAGTGAAAAGTTTTCCTCCATTAGTGGAAAAGGAAGGGCGCCTTTTGCGTCTGGATATACTCAGCAATAGAAGGGCGCCCTGTACGTTGGGCACGAAGTATAGGAAACTTGCATGGTTAAAAACTCTATCTTGTATTTCTAGTATCTTTGGTATAAATAGAACAAGAGAGCCAACAACGCTCATTGAGAGCGTACAAAAACGATACGCCCTACGCAGCTAGTGTAGGACGCCAACTAACGCTTGTATGTTTTTTATTACCCAGTACTCCACCGCGCACGGTCAGTTTGTCTGTTTATCTGTTCTCCACAAGATACTGTACTTTTGTTTTCGGTTGAGGCTATCCGCACTGCCGCAGTGCGAAAAAAAAAGCTGCTGTTTTCTATCGGCACTGCCGCAGTGCCAAAAAGCTGCTGTTTTCTAATCGGCACTGCCGCAGTGCCAAAAAGCTGCTGTTTTCTATCGGCACTGCCACAGTGCGAAAAAAGCTGTTCTTTTCTATCAGCATTATTGCCGCAGTACGAAAAAAGCTCCGATTTTCTATCGGCACTGCCGCAGTGCCAAAACACTGCAGTTTTCTATCAGCGCTGCCACTCGAAAAGCTGCTGTTTAATTAATGAAATGAATGTTTTTATCGATAAATTATGGTATCAATAATTGGTTAGATCTAGCCTAGCCTTATTATTGTTAACATTATATTATATGTTTTACAATTAATTTTAATTATTTCTAATTATTAAATATATACATATATCTAGGCGCATAGGCCTACATAAAACAAACAAAAAATAATAAAACAACAAAAATTAAAAAAAAATAGTAATAATAATAATAATAATATAATAATAATAATAATAATAATAACATTGCTCGAATAATACTATAATAATGAATAATAATTAATATTTTTTTAAATAAAGATGTTATTTATTTCATTCTGTTACAAAATAATCTTATAAATTATAAATTTATTTGCTATGATAATTTTATCCACATAGGCCTAATTCAAGTTTTCAATGTTAATATGGTTGATAAATAATATATGAAATAATAATAATAATAATAATAATAATAATAATAATATGTTATATAATAAAGGTGCTCGAATAATGCTTTAATAAAGGACTAATAATACTTCAATAATACTTCAATAGGCATATTTGCAATAGTGTGATTAATGAGATATTTGTTGATTAATTTATAGAAATATATAATAGGTGTATACCCTTAATAACTGTCTCTTATCCACATCT